TGGAGGCTGGTTGGCTGCATGTGATGCTTTAATGCATGTGATGCTTTAATGTGACAGCGTGATGCTGTTAGTGAGCTTCTATGCGCTAGCTGATGTTTGGCTGTGTAGCCGCGTGATGCGGTTCCAGTCAATACCCACTAATTGACCCTTGCTCACCATAGAGTCTCCTGTAGCTCAGTGGTTAGAGCATCCGACTAGATCACGGAGGGTCGTGGGTTCAAATCCCATCTGGAAACTCGATTTTTTCTCTTCTATTAACAATTGTTTATTTCATCTTTACAGGTTGTTTAATCGGTCGAAAAAAAAATATGATCGTTTATCCATACTGTCTGCCATCTTTTCGTATTAGACGTCATAATTCTACAAGGCCAGCGCAAACGCTGATACACAAATGAAGTTATCAACTTCTTGGAGAGAAAGTTCTAGAAACGTTTCTCTAATGTATTTGAGAGGTTCCAACTTATTCCAGGAAAGCTTCGAGCGCAATCTGTTCTAGAACACCATCAATTTAAATCAACTATGTAAATAAAGAAAGAAACTCACAACATCTCGAGTTTGAGATTGTTCTTGAAGGCTCCCTCAGGAATCACAGTTATGTTGTTGTTACTCAGCAGACTAGCACATCAAGTCGATCAAAAATATTAAAACGCGCGCGAGCGTTTGGTGAGTTTATTGAACTACGAATGCTTACCTATGCACTTCATGATTCTGTTTGCTCCTGAATAACGCCTACATTATTATGACGGGTAAAAAGAGTGACTTATCGGAGGTATTAGCGCCCTCCTCTGACTGAAGCTGGCTTTCAAATTTCCCACTGAGTTACCCTCCTAGGTTTGCTTCTAGTACGTCTGTTTCTTAGCTTTAATTGTTCAACCCCGGGCCATGCATATATCTGATAGATCATCCAAATGCGGGAATTTGATCATTTGTTAAGCGATCATTCGGCCATGAAGGAAAGCGTGCTCTTTCTCAAAATTTGTCATAACCTATATCATGTTGGCTTCAGTGAAAGTAGCAACGGTACAAAGTTTTGCGACATCTTTTGTGACTTGCAGAACTACCGTATTATTAATTTTTTTTTTTCGACTCACAGGTATCTCAAAGTGGGGACATCCTTAAAAGTGTTCCCAGTCATACTTTGTAGGTTGTTATGCTGCAGAAATCTATAAATTCGAAGTATTTTGTACATTAATGTTAATGAGATTGTTTTTCTTTTCCAGTAAAACATATTGTGAAAACCCCTATGTTAAGGCTATTCCTCAACAAGGTCTTATGTTTTAGTCCGTCCCGTTCCTCGTTTTTTTGTATGTCACGTAGACCAAAATCCTTTAGTAGTAGTTTTACTCGCTATCCTTTTTCTCACGTGGTGAAGCGCTTGTAAAATTTTACGTACGTAAAACTGTTCCTTTTCTTTCGCTTACCGCCCTTCATCATGTGGTTTTTACGGCTCCCTGAGTCTCGTAATCTTTTTTGATGAAAGGGCGACCGGATCGTTTTTTAAATATTGGTATTCTTCGCCATCATTAAACTCGTTGGTCGAAGCGCTGTTCGGTTAGTATTCGACATCTTCGCCACTTTATGTGTCCGACCCGGACACCCTAAGAGAAGTGGGTTGTGGTTGTTAACTAGTAGTAGGAATTTATCAGAAGGCTTCCGACAGAAAAATTGGGTGTTGATTTGGAATCAATAGTGATATAATCAACCTGACAACAAAATGCTGGGTTACTACTAAGAGAAAGGGTTGGGGGAGGGAAGGGGTGCTGACAAAAAAAGGTTGGGGGACTACTAAGAGAAAGGGCTGGCGGGGGAGTTGGGGATAGAATGCGAAAAACGCACTCTAAAGAAATAGTAAAGAAAGTCTGAGCACATCTTCATAGTCAAAGTTGACTTGAAAACATTAAACGCTTCACCCCCCCTTCCCTCCCCTCCCCTCTTTTTACCTCCACAGCCCTGAGGGATTATATTCATGACTGACGCATGTAAACGCGAAATAGCAATATAAATAGCGTTTAAGTACCCCCTCCCCCTGAAATTTTAAGATCCCTAGATGCTTATCAAGAGAGGTATGTACATCTGTTGCATTTTTACTCACAGAAACTCAAGGCTTGTTAACCTGTCACTGAACAAGTTGTCATCTAGGTAACTGACACGATTGTATGAAAGATCTCTGCAAGAATTAACAATAAATTGCATTTTTTCCCTTGATATAAAGATGGGTTTAGCGAATTCTTCTTTTAGTCGAGCGGGTGTTTAGATCGGTCAGAATATTACATTTCCAAGAGTTCTCTTGCTCACTGTGACCCCGAAGTAACCAATAAGAGTGCAAGATGCTGGGGAAAAAATTCCAAACTATAAAACAAAACTCTATGTTGGATACAATTGCATTCCAACATCTCTGAAATGTTACAAGCCTAAAATAAAGATCTAGAAAAGTTATCCGACACGCTGGAATTCTTGTTTATGTGGCATGATCCAGGTTACCCTCAGGCTTTTGATCAGGTTTCTTAGATCGCTCACTGGTACCTTTCAGCCGATTAAGTGCACTAACATGTCTCGTGAAGTTCTGAAACATTATATTTCTCTAAGTCTTCATGTTACATACAGGTATTGAAGTTTTCCCAGTTTTTCAAACAATCCACCTTGAAAGTCCATCATTCTGTTATGGGACAAGGACCTGGAAAAGGAATTCACCCTTTGACTCCCATGTGTGACCAAGACAGAATTTCTCCTTACAATTTCAATACAATATCAAGCAGACAAGTGATGAGAATAAAGGAAAATGTCAGTCAGGGGGATTATTAGTTGTTCCAGCTCCAAATTCTCTGAACTAACATAATAAGAATTGTATGGCAGAAAGTAAGGAGAATTAGTTAAGAGATCCTGGGAGTGAAAAGGCTAACAGCAATTATGTCTAAATTTAATTTCTTACAAACTGTGTTTTTTTTGGCATTCGGACTCTGTCGTGCTATAATTTCACACTCTCGATACTGACTTTAGAATATGATTTATTTCAGAGAAGGACAATTATTATGTATAATTTGGGAATAGATTTGATTAAACCGTCCTTCATCATGCCCTCTCTTTGGAACCCCAATTTCCAACTTCTACGTAAAGAGTGTCGTGAAACCAAACCCAAAAATAAAAGACCAAAAGCGCATGCTCATTATAATTGATCGTGAGCTGACACATAGATTCGAGGCTTTCAAAAGTGTCCGGATGTAAAGTTTTAATTGCCCATTAACAGTACAGAAGTATTCAAATTTTCATGGTTTTTGCCCCCTTAAGAATAATTGATAGATCTTTGATTTCTTCCTACTTACAGGTAATATAAGTTTACAAGATTGGAAAAAATGTCCTTATCAAGTGTTTCAATCCTGTTGGAGCTGAGATTTCTGAAAATAGAAAGCAGTCGAGGCAACGTTCAAGATGTTTCAAGCTGAATATAACTTAGAATCGTGCGATTTAATAAAATCTCGCATTCTAATTGGTTAACGAAATGTCGGTTTTGGGGTGCAATTCAATGCGGAATTCCTTCATCAAGTAATGAATTTTCATAGAAGCTGCTGAAACCGATGTCTGTCTTCTTCAAATTAAACACATTGGAAATAAAAGTTGGTGACTACTTGCAACCTATCGAAAATGTAACAAATGGTAAACACCGCAGCGTACACTATTGAGTTATTGAAGCACGCGGGAGGTTGCTAAGCACGAAAGAAGCGTAAGAGTCGCTCGAGGCGATAGCCGAGAGCGACTCTAGCTTCTTGAGTGCTTAGCAAACCTCCCAAGTGCATCCATAACTCAATAGTGTACGCTGTGGTGTTTACCATTTGTTTTATAACATAACATTGATACATTGTAGCTAAAGAGTTCCCTTTTATTTAACAAATCTTACG